TTTTTTTTTTTTTTTTTTTTTTTTTTTTTTTTTTTTTTTTTTTTTTTTTTTTTTTTTCCATACCCCAACTAATACCACCCATGATTAGGTTGCTCAATTCTAAAGGGGAATCAACGGATATCATCCGTCAGATTTGCATGTATATAATATTCCAATTTATATCAGACAAAAATACTTACTTGATATCTTGTAGTAGAGCTGCGATTGCTGTATCACTTTTTGCAGTGTACTTTAAATTAAAATGTACATGCGCTCAGAACGAGTTCTGAGGGACATTTTTATCACACACAGAAATAAGTGGAAGAAAATAATCTATATTTATGCAGACATCAGGAAATGAAACATAGCTTATTGAATTGAGGAAATAATATGGTTCTGATCAAAGTAAAAGTGTAAAAAAATAATTTAGTATATAACTTTACAGTTTTATCGTAATAAGGAATACAGTATACCTTATACGTTTTGATATGTGTTCCATTTTTTTTTTATGAGATAAACACTGACGCGAATAAAAGTATTACTTATTTATATTTCGTATTCTATAAGGTAAATCCATATTTTATGTTTATACGGTTAAATACTGAATTGTCACGCATTAATCCGCGAAAAAAGTACTGCAAGAGGCTGAGACTTTGCCAATCGTAAAAAAAAGTGTTAATCGTAAAATATTAGTAATCTAGAAAATAATGCACTTCTTAAAACTCAGTGCAAAAAAAAATTTATATTTATCCTACACTTCAATAATCCACTATACGTTTCATGATACCAAGATAAAACAACTGTCCTCATTTCGTTCGATAAAGATTACGTAACACTATTCGCCCTCTACTACTATTAGTTCCTCTGACGGCTTGCAAAGACACTATTGGTGATAGTTGAATGGGCGGAGCATTATCAAGTGAACATTGTTATGAAATGCTTGTTGTAAATTATATATAAAAATTATATAATAATTTAATTTATTTTCTTATTTTAACAGTGATTCAGTATATACAGAGTTAAAAAAGTATTTTTAATAGGACAATTGTATTTTTAATTACTGACTTAACGATAAACGTGCAATTTCGTAACTCATTCAACGGGTGCAGTTGAAACTTGCAGTAGAAACCCTCTTTTGTATTTGTGTAATGTGGGCTAGGAGATCGATATTACATACACCCCACTAAAGCGTAGTTATACTTTTGGAAGGTTGCAGAGTGTGGAACAACTCCCTAGCTGTACTGCTCATTTTCAGTTCCTAGTCTCTGTCTCCTCTCTTTCTCCTCCTACTCGACTTTCATTTCCTCTCACCCCTCTGCCGAAAGAATATTTGAAACCCTGGAGAGTCAACCAAGAGATGGCGACTCTTGCCCCACTGGATGCTACTGCTCTGCCGTCTCCTTCGTAAATCAATAACATGAAATTACCCGCAAAAATAAGAAAAGAGCTATTTTACAAAAATGCGCACACGATTATTACATTTTTATACGATGTAAATACGATTTTACTTTGGTAAAATAGGTAAAAACGTATATTCAATACGGTTAACATGGCCAAATAATTAAAACGGCACTGAAGAAAATGATTGATGAAATTGAAACTGAAAGACGGATCAGAATTACCTTACACTAATTAGCGTATTGTAGAATTAGTTTAATTAAATTTGTAAAAAAACGGGGGGGGTAAAAATCTTATTACTTCACATAATAATGCAATACTGATCACGACAGATAAATTCACTTATATAAACAATTTTAATTTAGAAATAATTGAAAACATATTTAAGGTATCTGATTCAGTATATTTTTTTAATGTACAATTAATATCGTGTAGTCAACAATAATTTAATTTAATATATATAAGTGTAATGTAATACTGCTCACAACTATTATATATTATTAACAAAATTTCACACATACATAAAAATTACCAATTTTTTATATTACTTCTATTTAATATTTTATATATTTATGAGCCTAACACACACACGCACACTTTATTATGATTTATTTATCAAAATTTATTACAAATACAGTCAGGATAAAAAACAATTTAAAAAATCAAATAAAGGTATATTTTTACTCTGCTAATGCAATTTGTGTACCTGAAATTGATACAATAATTGATAATTTTGTACTCCAACAATTTTACATGATTAAAAAAAAGTGAAATGGAACGAAGTTATCATGATCATCTTAGCTGACAATATCTGCTTCATTTATCTAGAGCGACTTATTTATTTTTTCACAGACCGGAAGCAGGTGATTCTGATAATGAACACACGTTAGACACAACAGGAAAACAGAACAAATAAGAAACGACCTTCTGCTATCTCTAATGTAAAAAGAGAAAAAAAGGATAAAAGGGTGGAGAAAAATTTTCTTTCATTATTTTTATTGGTGTGTTAACCTTACTACCAAGTAGCAGTTCTCACAATATTAGCTGTTTGGCATTTAATAGCTTCGCTCGTTTACTTGCTCTTTGAAATGCATCTTCCATTCATTTTTTTTGTAACCCAGAACAGATATAATTTTTCTTTCAATTTTCTTTCCTCGTCTCCATTCTCTTTTAGCTTTTCCTCCGCAACATCCCTTCTCGTCCATGCTACTCCCCACCCTAAAAATGCTACATACAAAGTTTTAGGCAAGGAACAGCATCCACACCGAATTAACCGAGGGGTGAGAGAAAGATGTAGGACAAAAATCCGACCAATAAAAGCTCGCCATTACTAAGGGATCGATCAATGCGAACACCCTCCGTACCGACAAGACCATAGCCACGCCAGTCTACGCTCGCCCGCTCGCATATATGATACAGCTTCTGTCTTTTTATCTAATCCTCGTGCGTCTTCGTATTTCGACTTAAACTTGTTTTTTTTTTTTTTTTTTTTTTTTTTTTTCCATACCCCAACTAATACCACCCATGATTAGGTTGCTCAATTCTAAAGGGGAATCAACGGATATCATCCGTCAGATTTGCATGTATATAATATTCCAATTTATATCAGACAAAAATACTTACTTGATATCTTGTAGTAGAGCTGCGATTGCTGTATCACTTTTTGCAGTGTACTTTAAATTAAAATGTACATGCGCTCAGAACGAGTTCTGAGGGACATTTTTATCACACACAGAAATAAGTGGAAGAAAATAATCTATATTTATGCAGACATCAGGAAATGAAACATAGCTTATTGAATTGAGGAAATAATATGGTTCTGATCAAAGTAAAAGTGTAAAAAAATAATTTAGTATATAACTTTACAGTTTTATCGTAATAAGGAATACAGTATACCTTATACGTTTTGATATGTGTTCCATTTTTTTTTTATGAGATAAACACTGACGCGAATAAAAGTATTACTTATTTATATTTCGTATTCTATAAGGTAAATCCATATTTTATGTTTATACGGTTAAATACTGAATTGTCACGCATTAATCCGCGAAAAAAGTACTGCAAGAGGCTGAGACTTTGCCAATCGTAAAAAAAAGTGTTAATCGTAAAATATTAGTAATCTAGAAAATAATGCACTTCTTAAAACTCAGTGCAAAAAAAAATTTATATTTATCCTACACTTCAATAATCCACTATACGTTTCATGATACCAAGATAAAACAACTGTCCTCATTTCGTTCGATAAAGATTACGTAACACTATTCGCCCTCTACTACTATTAGTTCCTCTGACGGCTTGCAAAGACACTATTGGTGATAGTTGAATGGGCGGAGCATTATCAAGTGAACATTGTTATGAAATGCTTGTTGTAAATTATATATAAAAATTATATAATAATATAAAAACGCAGAGGTTTATTTAAGTTGAGTAGTTGAGTGCAGTAGTACTCGAGGTAGTACTTAAGATACCTCATATATGTACATGTAATCAGTAGTTATCATTATTTTACATCAAATTATTTTTAAGGAAATAAAGCCACGTAAATACTATGGCTATTCCATTTCGGATATAACTTAAATAAGAATAGCATTTAACTTTTGTGACAAAAGTTTACAGAAAAAATTAATAACTATCAGTATTATATTTTGTGCTTAACGGTAACTCTTTCAAGTAACTTACAATTAGAGTGATTTACGTAAATAGAATGAAAATAAACTTACCCTGGAAGAGTAGGGTTGTAAACATTGCCGTCCCCATTTCTGGACCTAAAAAAAAATTAAAATACGATAAATAATAAAATTATATAAAACAAATTTTATTATCAATAA